ACGGTAAAACACAAAACACGGTAAAACACAAAACACGGTAAATCACAAACCACGGTAAAACACAAACACGGTAAACACACAAACACGGTAAAACACAAACCACGGTAAAACACAAACCACGGTAAAACACAAACCACGGTAAACACACAAAACACGGTAAAACACAAACACGGTAAAACACAAACCACGGTAAAACACAAAACACGGTAAACACACAAACACGGTAAAACACAACACACGGTAAAACACAAACCACGGTAAAACACAAAACACGGTAAAACACAAAACACGGTAAATCACAAACCACGGTAAAACACAAAACACGGTAAACACACAAACACGGTAAAACACAAACCACGGTAAAACACAAACCACGGTAAAACACAAACCACGGTAAAACACAAACCACGGTAAAACACAAACCACGGTAAAACACAAAACACGGCGACTGCTCAGAAAGTTCGTCCGCGATCACGGAGCGGCACCTCCAACGGCCGTGGCACAACAACAATAACAACAACAACTTTCACGGAGCGCCACTTTTTTCCTTCCACGGCCAGGGGTGGGAGAAGCCTTTTCTCTGCCAAGGGCCATTTGGATATTTATAACATCATTCGCGGGCCATGCAAAATTATCATTTTTAAAATTAGCCCGTTATATTTGGTCAAACGTTTAATTAACTCACCCCTAATGCGACGGCTGGAACTGGCTTCTCTTTGGCGAGGCGTAGTGATGATTTTCTCGCTGTGGTTTTCACACCTGATGATGATTGCTTGTGTTGCAGTCGAAACGTCGTGAGAATTTTATTGTTTTATATTTTTTTTCTTATTTCATCGATTCCCTTCTACGTGACTTTACCTAAAGAACCAAGAATACGTGGTGATGATGTTAGCTGGTATTGACGACGTTGCTACTCGCAACTACTTTGCCAGGTTTGCTCCTAGATTTATTGAATTTCGAGTCCCGCCTGCGGTTGCCTTGGCGGGGCCAGAGACCCAAATGATTTTGTGGGCCTCATTCGGCCCGCGGGCCGGACGTTCCTCACCCCTGATCTGCGCGCACGCAAGTACACAGGGATCAAGGAACGCCTGTGAATATTGCGTGTGCCCGGTGCATATTCCAAACAGGTATCCATGCACAGGAGATTGATCAGGGTTTATGATCGGCGACTTAACGAGTCCTCTCTCGTGCCGAACGCGTGGGATTATTTTCGGGGGCCGCGTTTCTAAAAAAGAGAAATTCGCACGTGGCACCGGATTGGCTGCAACGCTCGTACAGAAGTGGTTAACGGGGTGCGGGCATCTGTGGATTCAAGGAAGGTGCCTTTAAAAGTACAGCAAATTCGATCGGTCGAAATTGTGGTCAACGAGTCCTGTACTGTACTAACTCGATCAACTACGTGACGAAAGAAGAGCGACGCAGGGTGATGTCTCCACAAACGTGGCTTTCGCCTGATGATGCCAGCTGTAATTAGTGTTCACGTGACAAACCTTACTAATTGGCTGCGTCGGGGCGGTGGCGGGTTTAACGGCACATTGATATCGACGCGATCGAACCCTCCTTACAGAAACCCCTATTCGGGATATGTGACGACCGTGAGAGCCATTTAAGGAGCAAAATATCTTGAGCCCCGGATGATGTCAAACACATTGAGTGGAAAAAGTGACACATGCAAACGACCATCACGAGAGATACACCACAGCAAGCCTGACTAATAACACGATACATTACCACGTAGTCGGAGAAAAATATATAAACTCAATTAAGATTTCACATGCTGTTGAAGTTTATATTTTTAATGGTGAAGATGACAACGATGATGATTACACAAAGACGATTGGAGGCAGCACAACGTGGATGGATTTCACTGCTTGTGGACACCCCGTGTATGTGTGTGTGTGTACACCAGGGACGTGCGGTAAGGGGAGGCAGAGCCTCAGCTGTCATACTCCAATGAAAATAGCTGTTACGAAAAGTAAAAAAAAAGAATAATCAAATGAAATAAATATGAAGATTTTTTCCACTGATCTGTGTTATGAATGTCATTTCTGTACGATGCCAATCTTTTTTTATAGTCAAAATCGCCAAATTTTCAGAGCTCCACTGCAAATACAGGGAGAGACGAGAGGTGAGGCAGCGACGAGCTCAGCCTCCCCTCTGATTGCGCAACCCCTCAGTAACTGGATGGAGCACGGGCAATAAGCGCGTGCCTGTTACTATCTCAGTGTGTCACCAATGCAATGTTTGTAGACCCCTTCATTTCATGTCCTCGCCTTCCATACTCAAGGTAACTTATTTCACGTATGTGTATAAAGATATTTAGGCTCGCTGGTCTCGTCATGAAACTGCAATGAAAAAGCACCAGGGGAGGCAGCTATCACATCTGCCTCACTGAGGGGGACATGTCTAACACGCCCCCCCCTTAGGCCACGCCCCCCCTCGGTGTGTGAATCTGACACGAGCCAGTGCCTCCCCAGCCATTGACCTCACCGCATGTCACTGGTGTACACCTCGTGGACGTGTGTGTGTGTGTACACCCCGTGTACGTGTGTGTGTGTGTACACCCCGTGGACGTGTGTGTGTGTGTACACCTCGTGGACGTGTGTGTATACACCCCGTGTACGTGTCTGTGTGTACACCCCGTGTACGTGTGTGTGTGGACACCCCGTGTACGTGTGTGTGTGTATACACCCCGTGGACGTGTCTGTGTGTACACCCCGTGGACGTGTGTGTGTGTGTGTACACCCCGTGTACGTGTGTGTGTACACCCCGTGTACGTGTGTGTGTGTGTACACCCCGTGGACGTGTGTGTGTACACCCCGTGGACGTGTGTGTGTGTACACCCCGTGGACGTGTGTGTGTGTGTACACCCCGTGGACGTGTGTGTGTGTACACCTCGTGGACGTGTGTGTGTGTACACCCCGTGGACGTGTGTGTGTACACCCCGTGTACGTGTGTGTGTGTGTACACCCCGTGGACGTGTGTGTGTGTACACCCCGTGGACGTGTGTGTGTACACCCCGTGTACGTGTGTGTGTGTACACCCCGTGGACGTGTGTGTGTGTGTACACCCCGTGGACGTGTGTGTGTGTGTACACCCCGTGGACGTGTGTGTGTGTGTACACCCCGTGGACGTGTGTGTGTGTGTACACCCCGTGGACGTGTGTGTGTTTACACCCCGTGGACGTGTGTGTGTATACACCCCGTGTACGTGTCTGTGTGTACACCCCGTGGACGTGTGTGTATACACCCCGTGTACGTGTCTGTGTGTACACCCCGTGGACGTGTGTGTATACACCCCGTGTACGTGTCTGTGTGTACACCCCCTGGACGTGTCTGTGTGTGTACACCCCGTGGACGTGTGTGTGTGGACACCCCGTGGACGTGTGTGTGTATACACCCCGTGTACGTGTCTGTGTGTACACCCCGTGGACGTGTGTGTATACACCCCGTGTACGTGTCTGTGTGTACACCCCGTGGACGTGTGTGTATACACCCCGTGTACGTGTCTGTGTGTACACCCCCTGGACGTGTCTGTGTGTGTACACCCCGTGGACGTGTGTGTGTGGACACCCCGTGGACGTGTGTGTGTATACACCCCGTGTACGTGTCTGTGTGTACACCCCGTGGACGTGTGTGTATACACCCCGTGTACGTGTCTGTGTGTACACCCCGTGGACGTGTGTGTATACACCCCGTGTACGTGTCTGTGTGTACACCCCCTGGACGTGTCTGTGTGTGTACACCCCGTGGACGTGTGTGTGTGTGGACACCCCGTGTACGTGTCTGTGTGTACACCCCCTGGACGTGTCTGTGTGTACACCTCGTGGACTGTGTGTGTACACCCCGTGGACGTGTGTGTACACCTCGTGGACGTGTGTGTATGTACACCCCGTGGACGTGTGTGTGTACACCCCGTGGACGTGTCTGTGTGTACACCTCGTGGACTGTGTGTGTACACCCCGTGGACGTGTGTGTGTACACCTCGTGGACTGTGTGTGTACACCCCGTGGACGTGTGTGTGTGTACACCTCGTATACGTGTGTGTGTACACCCCGTGGACGTGTGTGTACACCCCGTGGACGTGTGTGTGTGTGTATACACCACGTGGACGTGTGTGTACACCACGTGGACGTGTGTGTACACCTCGTGGAGGTGTCTGTGTGTACACCCCGTGTACGTGTGTGTGTGTGTACACCCCGTGGACGTGTGTGTGTGTACACCCCGTGTACGTGTGTGTGTGTGTGTACACCTCGTGTACGTGTGTGTGTACACCTCGTGGACGTGTGTGTACACCTCGTGGAGGTGTCTGTGTGTACACCCCGTGGACGTGTGTGTGTGTGTACACCCCGTGGACGTGTGTGTGTGTGTACACCCGTGTACGTGTGTGTGTGTGTACACCCCGTGGACGTGTGTGTGTACACCCCGTGTACGTGTCTGTGTGTACACCTCGTGGACGTGTGTGTGTACACCTCGTGGAGGTGTGTGTGTGTACACCCCGTGGACGTGATTATGTGTGGACACCCCGTGTACGTATGTGTGTATGTACACCGTGCATGTACGTATGTGTGTACACATTGTGTATATTGACACTGGGTGTACGAGTGATGATTTGGTTGAGATTCCACCTCTTACCGGAATCCACTCGAATCGTCTTCTCCACGGTGAAGATGGAAACTCGTTTGCATTTGTCGCTGTTGAAGAAATATTCTACAATCAACAACAAACAAGCAGATGCCACGGTGGCTAGGAGATGTTAACTACCTCGCTTGGTATACAGGAGGTCGTGGGTTCGATCCCGACCCTGACGCCTGCTGCTTTATATTTGGAGTTTGCGTGTCTCTCTCTCTCATCATCATCATGGTGGCCAGGAGATGTTAACTACCTCGCCTGGTACACAGGAGGTCGTGGGTTCAATCCCGATCCTGACGCCTGCTGTAGATTTGGAGTTTGCGTGTCTCTCTCTCATCATCATCACGGTGGCTAGGAGATGTTAACTACCTCGCCTGGTATACAGGAGGTCGTGGAATCGATCCCGACCCTGACGCCTGCTGCTTTATATTTGGAGTTTGCGGTGTCTCTCTCTCTCCCCGTCGTCGGGTGGATTTTCCCCCGGGTTTTTCAACCCCCCACATTTGGAATCAACATCACGCGTTGTGATGCTGGCTGCTGCTTTAAATGTCCATGTGATGAACCCACTTCGTTGAGCTGCCATTTGTGGTAGCCAGGTCGCTTCTGAAAAAGAGCGACATAGCTTAGTGAGCCTTACCTGGTAAAATGAAAACATCGTTTATAGTTTTAAAATAGTAACAAAAAATATGTTTGTTATAAAATTAAAATAGGTGATTAAATAGGTGATGTGTCAACAAGGGGTGCACAAGAACGGTTAACAAGAACTCCCCCCGCCAACACTGCCCTGAAAGAAAATAATATATAATCGGCAACGTTTCGGGCAATGACCCTTCCTCATGTGCTGTTAACTTTCGCAAGGAATTGTTTTTATCTTACATCCAACAGTAAATAAAATAAATCCACTTGTTTAATCACTCCGTTTGCTTAAAAACAGAGCATATATATATCCACTTTTAATAATTCCGCTATCCCTATCACCCCATCCCGTGATACTACAATCCCACCACCTGACCACGTGACACTACCATCCCACCAGCACACGTTGCTACTAAATTACCACCAACCGATACCCATTGAACACGATCACGTGATGGGACCTCAATTGGTACCACGTGATGATGGTATTAGTTCCATCAAGCGTTCAAGTGATGTTTTTTTTATTATAATACAGTGCCACGTGATCAACTGAAGGTACTACAGCAGTGGCGGCCCCTGACAATGCACAAATGGTCAAAACACCCCCCCCCCCATCATCATGTCAAACCCCATGGTTTCAAATGTGTTGCGGACCTCACACTGATGATGTCTTATCGGTGATAGTGCTCCGCCCACCCTCCGTCCCTCTGAAAATTAGTGAAGAACACTGCACAACAGTGAAGATGTTTAAAAAAAAAAAGAAAATCCACGCTAATCGATTCAGAGTCAGGAGAGAGAGAGAGTTCAAAGCCTGGGACTCTGAGCTGCTCTCGATCGCAAGGGCGAGTGACTTCGCGCAAGAATTCAATGAAGACCCTAGCACAATTACACAAACACACACTCAACTAACGTGTTAAATACGTGATACATGCGGTTACGCAATGCCGTATCGTCCCGATTATTAGATGCCTCCCCCCCCTCCCCGGATAGTAAAACATCTTATGAAGTTATACAATTGTGGGCGTTATGTCCGTCAATCGACTGCCACCCAGGGTAAAAAAAAGACTCGGTTCAAGATCGGTCGTTGTGTTTAAAATCCTCCTTGTGTTGTCTATAGGCAAACAAACATTGGAACTAGGCAGTGCAACACGTCCAGTCTCCATGTATATAAAGGATGCGCGTAAGGTCACCATGCCAGATCGTGATGCCGAATTGGCTCGTGTGGGTCGCTACATCGCCGGATAGCGAGGAATGGTGGCGGTGGCTTGGTGAGGCCTTCATCCAGCAGCGGATTGACCATGGCTGATGATGGTGATGGGAGGCTTGTGGGGAGGCATTCATCCAGCAGTGGATTGACCCCGCCACGGTTTGCTCCGTACGGTGCGAAAGAAGTCCAACGTGCATTGTGACGACATAAAAACCGACAGCTTACTGCCCGTGCGAAAGTGTGCCTTTCTTGTGTTTACAGTCACCGAGGAAAAAAAAGGAAGCATCGACGTTTCGGGCGATTGGCCTTGGGCGAAATGAAGACAAACCCCCCTGCGGTTTATGAATCGTCTCTTACACTTCACACCGCGTTCGCTTAAACAATCAACGAGCGCGACGCGAGGGCTACGAGAGGCTCTCGCTCTTTAATTACCTGCGGAGTGCTTTCGAGAGAAAGGGTCGATTACGCCGTCTCGTGGAGGTTCATTCATAACGGGCAGCAGCAGCAGCCATCAAGCACAAGAAGAGCGGTGAGGGAGTGGGTGGGGGGAGGGTGCCGGCTCGAGGTCGAGAATAAGAACGGAGTGGCAGCCCAAGGCAGGAGCCGCGTCTGACGAGACGGGGGGGGTTGGAGTGGGGGGGGGGTTGGAGGGGGTTGAAGAGGGGGTTGGGGGGGGGTTGGAGTAGGGGGGGTTGGAGTGGGGGGGGGGTTGGAGTAGGGGGGGGGGTGGAGGTGGGGGGTTGGAGTGGGGGGAGGGTGGAGTGGGGGGGGTTGTAGGGGTGGTTGGAGTGGGGGGGTTGGAGTGGGGGGGGGGGGTTGGAGTAGGGGGGGGGTTGGAGTGGGGGGGGTTGGAGTGGGGGGAGGGTGGAGTGGGGGGGGGGTTGTAGGAGTGGTTGGAGTGGGGGGGGGGGGTTGGAGTGGGGGGGGTTGGAGTGGGGGGGGGTTGGAGTGGGGGGGTTGGAGTGGGGGGGGGGGTTGGAGTGGGGGGGGGGGTTGGAGTGGGGGGGTTGGAGTGGGGGGGGGGGGGTTGGAGTGGGGGGGGGTAGCGATGAAACCACCTCGGTTCGTAAACGAGTTCAGGTGATAGCGACAGTTTGCAAGGCCGTGAGTGATCGCGTTGTCGGGGCACGCCGGTTCTCCACGTGGGTACAGAGAGAGAGAGCGCGAGGGGGATTCGGGGAATCTCTCTGTGTGTGTTTCCTGTGTGTCTTGTTTAAACCCATCCTGGGCCTTCCGTAGATCGATTCAGCCTCAAGTGAGTACCTGGAGCGGTGTGTAAACATCGCCACTGGGGGAGACAAAAGCGGCCCGGCGTTGGTTCTGCTCCCACCCCCCCCACCCCCCTCGTGTACCGTTCCGGCCTTCATATGTGCTCCCTAACAGCACTTGCCCCAACACTCTGTTAAGGTTACACGGGGGATATTTGTCTCGTGTTCTGGGAGACCATTCTATTGTGAATGGGTGCATAGTTTTACAATGGACAGGTGGATCGCTCTTATCCCGGTGCCGTTATGGTTCTAACACCGCACATCCGATTCGCGCGTTTGGGTACGTTCCGTGCGAATGAAGTGTCACAATCTTGATTTGAAGTTTTCGTGACTGCAGGAATCCATACTCTCTGGTTCTTTCGGTAAAGTCACGGTAGGTATAAAATAAAATTTAAAAAAAATTCACGACATTTCGATTGCAACACAAGCGATCATCATCAGGTGGGAAAACCACAGCTTGTGTTGCAATCGAAACGTAATTTATTTTTATTCTATACCTACGTGACTTTACCAAAAGAACCAGAGAGTATGAAGTTAAACACAGACAACAACAACCGCCATTCTCCACTAAGTGGCGGTGACGTCACCACGACGCTTGTGCCAGGCTATGTGCACCTTGAGGCCACGTGAAGTGTCGAACGCCCGCTGGCAGGAGGTCACGGGGCAGACCCATGTGCCACGGGTCGACTGACTGAGATGACTGGCTGATGCACCACCTGTGCCCCCTACTGTGCCAACCTGCTGTGCCTAAGTCACCCGGCGCTCCGCTCGTTGTTGTGAGCGTCGCTCCTCCGTTGTTGTTGGAGGGCGACTGCCTCCAACTGCCCAGTAGCGTCCTTCACGAGCCTCCTCCACAGAGGCTGATCTTGACACCGCTGGTACCGGTCATCGGCAAGTCCACTCAGCTCCACGTCATCCTGTACCACATCACTCCATCTCTTCTCTAGCCAGTTCCGCGCCCGTTTAGCCCCCTCGATCCGGCCGAACAAAAGATGTTTCGGCATGCGGTGGCTGGGCATGCGGGCTACATGTCCCAGCCAACGCAGCCTTGCCTGACGGAGGAGCTCACCGATGGGACCGTGCCCAGATATTTCAAGGATTTGTGAGCTCCTCACACAATCCAGCCTGTTTAACCCCAGGATGGATCGTAGGCAGGCTAGCCTAAATGTTTCTAACCGGCGAAGATGTTCCATTAGTGGGTCCAGACACACACATACACATACACACACATACGCACGTACATGCCAAGCGATCGCATCTGTGTACACCTTTACTGTTCCGGTTCAGGATTATTGCGGTTGGGAGGGGGGAGGGGGGAGGGTGGTGGGGGCAGAAGTGATTTGCGGATTAGCCAAGGAGCTCAGGTGAGATGAGTTTAATCTCGTGCACGGAGGGGTTGGCTATTCATGAGGGCTTTAAGGACGCAGGTGTTTTAGGAGGAGATAATTTGGATAGATATACGATGGGTAGATAACCGGGCGCTTGGGGTACAGAATGTGGAGAGGAAAACGGGGAAATGTTAAACAGGTAGACTGAATGCGGACAGAAGGATTGGCCGCTTTAGATACAGTGCAAATCAATTTATAACATTTTTGACATGCGTTTTTCTGGATTTTTGTTGTTATTCTGTCTCTCGCTGTTCAAATAAACCTACCATTAAAATTATAGACTGATCATTTCTTTGTCAGTGGACAAACGTACGAAATCAGCAGGGGATCAAATACTTTTTTCCCTTCACTGTTTTAACAGAGATATTCTTGTATTCTAAATACATACATTAACTACACGGTATTTAGACGGAGATAGACATAGACACACGGCATTTTATAGATAGAGTATAAAGAGATAAATTATATTGTAGATAGACATATATAGAGACTTCATATGTTAGATATCGGTAGAGGACATGCAAGTTAAAGCAGCGAGATGCGTGAACACGCGCTTAGTTTGCTGAGTTAATTCGTCAATTTATGAATACGTTATTTCAATTACATCTCGTACGCAATTGCCCGTATCACTAGCTCAGTGAACTTGTTGCATGATCGCGTGATGACAACTCTTAAGTGGGCAGGAGCACGAGAAATGTTCATGCAGGTTAGCCAGGTGCTCGCGTTGTTCAGTCGAAGGAGGAGCTGGCGGGGGAGAGGCCTCGATGGAGTGAATGGAGTTGATGGAGGAGGAGTGCCTTTTGGAAATTCGAACTTGATCGTGAAGATTCGCGCTCGTGACACAACAAAGTTGCTTGCCACAAATGAACCACGAATACCTCGCTGCCCATCTCGTCAAAGAGCCGAGACCATCATCACCCGAACTCCGATCACCCTCGCAGCAGCAGAAACATCGGTGTTTGGCTCGGCCATCGAGCAAAAACGGCGTTCACCGCATCGCGCGTTTTCAGATGCGCTTCTGCGGCCCGTCTGGAGGTAATACGCTCTTCCTTACGATATCGGGAAGCCACTGTATCTATGCACTTTTAAATCCAGATTGAAAAG